ACACAAAGTGAACTCACACATAGCCAAGCTGCAAGAGTTATGGAAAACTCCTCAAATTCAAACAATTCACATCCCTAAATCAATGATAGATGCGTCCTTTCTTAAGGTATGCTAACTAAATACCACTACTTTATTTAAATACCAATACTCTTTGTATTCAGAACTGAAGTTTTTATTGAAGATAAGCTACTTTGAGGGTAAGGCACTGCAGAAGACAAAGTACACCCAGCATATTGTCTAGGAGTCTGTAAATACCTGCTGGGTAAACTCAGTGAATGAGTGCAAGGATTTTATCATTATAGATTCCCTGTCATAAGAGTTCTTTCAGGGCTTTATGATACTTCAGATCTAACGTACTTTTACTCAGAAAGCTCAATGCCCCAAGCATAAGATGCTTGGGGAGAGTTCCATTCTAAAGATGGAAACCAATCTCATAAAGATTTCACTCAAGGACTACAAAATTAGAAGCAAGCAAGTAAAGAAAATGTCAATAAGCATTTTACAACTGTTGACCTGTACTGCCCCACTAAAGATCATAGCTGCCTGAAGCATCCTCTCTAGAGCAATGCAAATTAGGGTTACTAAATCTTGGTGCAAACTGGTAAATTTTCCTGACCAGCATCTTGGATTTTCTCTGGATTTACTACCTATTCAGTTGAGTGAATCCTGTGTGTGTGTATACCTATGCACGTATAGCGGGGTCTTGCATTTTAGGTGAGTGTTAACTTCTAAAATCAGCAAGCATAGTACAAATCTTAGTCAAAATTACTTATATCAGAGACCAACAGATCCCTCAGTCTGTCCAATAGTTATTCTTACGGGGCTAGAAAAGACTGTTTCTTTAGTTAAAACTAAGTAGGGTAATTGGGTTGCTTTTAGGTATCATATTATACCTCAAAAATCATATTCAGAGGGCAAGATGCCCATACCCACTGAGAGACACATGGGAACTAAGACTCACTGACAGAACAGCAGATTCATACTTTCCTATTCTTCTAGGGCAGTGGTTCTCAAACCTCACTGGGCATCTGAATCACTTGAGTGGAAATGACAAGCAGAATCACTTGTATTGTTTAAATGGCCATTTCTTTCTCTTTTTGGCCAAATTAACACAGTTGAATTTGCATAAGTAAAATGAACAGATCCTACAACTGTCCTGAACATTCATCCTTTCAGATAAGGAATATTGCCAACCTCTGTTATACAATGCAGCCTATAAATCTTGTTCTGTCTTTTAGCATCGAGACCTCACCATAGGGCAGAAGCGTTATCTGTGCAGCATTGCTAAGATCTATAATGCAAACTATCTGAGGACGTTAATGAAGAGGCAGTACATGCATGTGATCCAGCGCAGCTCACAAAAGCCAGGCAGGTGCACCTCCAGTTAGTCTCTCGCTAGTTCTCATAAGAAATGAGGTCTTCTAACAGAGGTGATTCGTACAACAGGTGTCCTCACTCATCACAGGAGCCGCCTCAGTTCTCGTTACGCACAGAAGCAGCACTACCCCTGCACTACATGGCGACACCAACTGGACAGAGAGGACTCAGGGCGTTCTCACGTTGCAGCCGCATCTGCATCGGAAATGATCATACAGTATTCCCTTTGGCGACCAGTGAGAAACAAAGAAGGGTCTGTTTCTTATTGTTTACAAGGAGGAAAATGTCCTCCAATTTTATTTGAAGGGTAGCTAAATGATATTAAACCTTGTGTTCCCTAATATGTTCACTTTGCTAAATTCAGAATAGGCTGGATAAAAAGCACAAAAGGATGTTACTTTACGGTCTCTTTACTGAGCTGACTGGGATATGCCACTTCTTTTGGAACATATTTTGTGGATTTGTAAAAATTTCTTGATCAGCTAGAGATATGGAAGAGTGCCCCTTTCAATGATTCCCACTCAAAATCAAAATAATACAGACTTCCAAAAGGAGAAGCATATGGTTGCTTCTACACAGGGGAATACTATAAACAAAAAAGGAAAGAGGAAAAAAAGAGATTAAGAAGCCTGATTATCCAACCTGCACTACAATAGTTAGCTTTGCATATCAAGGTTAATAAGTCACAGGAGAATTCAGGGGCTGAAAGGATCTCTTTCGGGATGCTGGCAGCTTAATAAAAAGAATTTGCCCGGGGGGGGGGGGCCTGTGGCTTGGCGGTTAAGTGTGTGCGCTCCGCTGCTGGTGGCCCGGGTTCGGATGCCGGGCGCGCACCGACACACCACTTCTCCGGCCATGCTGAGGCCCTGTTCCACATGCAGCAGCTGGAAGCATGTGCAGCTATGACGTACAACTATCTACTGGGGCTTTGGGGGAAAAAATAAATTAAAAAAAAAAAAAAAGAATTTGGCTGCTGGCCTCATGGCTTAGCGGTTAAGTGCATGCGCTCCGCTACTGGCCGCCCAGGTTCGGATCCTGGGTGCACACCGACGCACCGCTTCTCCGGCCATGTGAGGCGGTATCCCACATACAGCAACTGGAAGGATGTGCAACTATGACATACAACTATCTACTGGGGCTTTGGGGAGAAAAAGAGAAAAAAGGAAAAAAAAAAAGTTTGTATGGTCTTCCACATGCATTAGGCAGCTGTTCACTTTGCTGGTTCCAATTAAGATGCTTCTCTTTCTTATAGTTTAAAAAGTGGATATGCATCTAAAACAAGATGTAAGTCGCTGAAGATTTTTAGAAAACCAGGCAGACTGTTCATGCAATCAGGTAAGTGTGGAATTTTAAAAATATGCATTTTAAAAGATCTTATGCTTAATGAATATTAAACCCAAGTTTCATCTATTACAGAGGACATTAAAAAATTTAGAATGTGATTTGCTTTACTGCTCCAAATAAAACTAAACATGAAATATAGTTTCTGCTTTCACTTAACACACTGCTAAGAGGAGTAAGGTTCAAGGTATTTCTAATTTTAAATAAAGATATTTATAACATCAACATCAAAGACTTAACAGAGAATGAATGTCAAAACCCAGAGCCACAAACATGACTTTTTCAAGCCACAGCACTTCTTTTATGAGATAGTGCCATTTTTGGATGAACATACTTTGTATAGCCTTAGTTTACAAAGGGCTATATCACCTATACCATTTTGTTTAATATTCAACCAACCAGTGCAAGCAAGCCAACCAGGTGATATTATCAAAATTTTATGGAGCAACTCAGACAAATCCAGACTTGGGAAGGATCAGCATAAAGGATCCTTCTACCACAAGTACAGAATACCACAAAATGAAAAAGGCAAAGAGAAAGAAGACCAAATGGTCAGAAATATTCCTCAGAATTGATCAAGTGGAAGTTAAATAATTTCCTAGTTAGTACCACAGCGAGTAGGAAAGTTAGGCCCTCTGAACCCACATCCCATTGCTGGGTGACAGCGCCACTCAGCTCTGCTGTAAATACCATGCTATGCCTATCCAAGAAATGAGGGAAACGGCAGGGGAAAAGGTAAGTCTGGTTCCACAAAGAACAGCTGGGGGAAACCCCAGATAGGGGGAAAGTCCCTGTCGTCCCCAAGAGAAGAGAGATGAGAAGGAACTTAAGGAAAATGGAGAATGCTGAAGCTAAAACTCCTCCATAAACAAAAGATTTTGAAAAGCATTGCTTTTAAGGGAAAATATGACTTAGTAACAGAATTTGCTGTACAATAACTTGTCTGGAA